GGTTGCCTTGCCCTCTCCAATTCTGAAACAAGAACACTTATTCCCAATTGGGCATGCAAAGCGGAGGACCTCCCCACTTCATACCTTGGTCTACCTCTGGGCTTAGGGAAACCTAAGAAGAGGCAGTGGTCTCACATTATAGATAAGGTAGACAGGCGATTGGCAGAGTGGAAAGGTAGGTTCCTATCTTTCACAGGTAGGACCATGCTTATCAAAGCCACCCTTGCTAACTCTCCGGTCCACTTCATGTCCTTATTTCATATGCCCGCCTCAGAAGCCAATCGCGTGGACCAATTGATGAGGAACTTTCTTTGGTCTGGAGAAGCTGAGTTTAAAAAATTTCACCTTATCTTCTGGGACAAAGTCTGCCTCCCAAAACACTAGGGAGGACTTGGCATTAGGACTCTAAAGAAACATAATATAGCCGTGCTAGGGAAGTGGTGGGGGAGACTGGCTACCCAGAACAACTCGCTCTGGGCCCAGGTCATTCGCAACAAATACAGAATTCCAGTAGAGGGGAAATCTCCGAGCAGGGCCTCCGGCGCGTGGAAGTCATTCTCGACTTCTCTATCTCTTTTCAAGCAGTTCATCTGTTTTCATCCTAGGGAAGGAGCTAAAGTGCATTTCTGGTCGGACCTTTAGTTAGGCCACACCCCTCTAAGGGACCTATTCCCTTCTCTTTTCTCTCTTGCCTCCAACAAATCCTCCACAGTTGCTGACGAGATGGTTATCTCTGGAAATCGTAGGGTATGGAACCCTTCCTTCAGAAGCTCCCTTTCCGATGAGGAAACTGAGGATTTCATTGCATTATCGGCCTCCCTACACTCCACCTTCTTCGCTCTCTTGGGGACAGACACCTTGGTGTGGACTCCCTCCCCCTCTAGCTCATTCACGGTGGCCTCTTTCTATAAAAGACTCCAACAACCTCCAACCTTCCCCCTCAACCCAACTTTTGTCCCATCCAAGGTCTGGTCTACCTTTGCACCACCAAAAGTGCAAGTCTTCAATTGGATTGCTTGCTCTAAAAGAACCCTCACTGTAGACCATCTCCAAAGGAAAGGGATTCCTATTCCGAATAGCTGCTTCATGTGTCTTTACGAGGAAGAGACTAACTCTCATCTCTTCATTCATTGCAACATTCATTGCAACCTTGCTCTTGACCTCTGGAGTCAAATTATCCGGTTATCAGCCCTGATCAAATCTTCTTTTGACTCATTGGCTGAAGGTGGGCAAAATCCTTTGGTAGGCTTCCATTGTGGCAACCATCTGGGCACTTTGGATCGAAAGAAACTCCAAGATTTTTGGAGGTCTTAAATGCGAAGTTCCAGCTCTCTTCCACAAGATTACTTCTCTAGTAATCTTTTGGGCTTCCAATCGCAAGGCCTTAGCTGGAGGTTCGACGACAAGTTTCCTTCGCGACTGGGAAAACATCCTCCACCTCGAACCCCTTCGGGTCCCAAGCCTAACAACTCGTTGCCTCCGTCGGAAGGCATCATCCAGCTAAATTTTGACGGATGGTCCCTCGGCAACCCATGCCCAACTGGAGCAGGAGGAGTCTTCCGAGACCACAACGGCAATATTTTGGCTTCCTTCTCAGAGCACTTAGACCACGCAAACTCTTACCTTGCAGAGTCTATGGCATTCTTTTTGGGCCTAAAGCGGTTCGACCAATCATGGGGATCACATTTGTTCGTCGAGGGAGACGCCAAAAACATAATCTCTTGGGCTTCTGGAAATGCACCCCCTCCTTGGTACCTCACCTCAATTTTTGATGAATTGCGGATACTTACAGGGATAGAGCGGTCTTTTGGATGCATATATAGAGGACGTCAAATGCCTTGGCATACTAACTGGCTAAGGACGGTGTAAGGGCCCAAGCCGAAGACCCCGCATAACCGCCACGTCTTTGATGAGCTGCTTCGATTATCTTTAAGTCACTGGTCCATCTCCTTTTTTTCTTTGGACCTCTGCGGGTGCATCTTTTTTCCTTTTGTTTACAGCTCTTGTAATTTGGCATCTCCTATAAGCCCCTTATTTTTTGTACAAGAGCTATTGTTAAGTGGCCTATTTTTTGGTTGAGAGACCTGGCCTATGGGTACTTTCGACATTTACTTATGTATACCCCTCTTTAATAGTAATACAATTGTTAACTCCTTCGAAAAAATAGATAGGGACGTGGCAAAAATTTTCTACTGGCTGCCAACCTAATTCCTCCTTTCTCATCCAAGTTTGGGATCAATAATGATGGAGTGCTCAAACTTATGAGTTACACTATGAAACTATGGGAGAGAGTGATTCAGCAATGACTAAGACATGAAACAAGTGTATTAGAAAATTAGTTTGGATTTATGCTAAGGAGGTCAACCATTGAGCCTATTTTCCTACTTATGCAAAATATTGAGAAGTTTACAGAGAAAAGAAGACCTCCACATGGTCTTTATTGATTTAGAGAAAGCATGTGGTAGGGTACTTAGAGAGATAATTCATGGGTGCTGGTTAAAGAAAAGAGTCTCAAGAGGATAATTAACATGGTTAGGGATATTTATGAGGAAGCGATAACTAATATGAGGACAACTAGTGAAGAGATAAGAGTTTTTAGTGATAGTAGGTCTACATTAGGGGTCAACGTTGAGCCCATATCTCTTTACTTTAATTGTGGACAAGTTAACTAGGCATCAACAAAATAAGGACCCATGGTATATGTTGTTTGCGGTTGACATAGTCTTTGTTGATGAGACTAGGGATGGCGTAAACGCAAAGTTAGAACTTTGGAGGATGCTTTAGAATCTAAAGGTTTTAAACTTAGCTGGGCTATGAAAGAATAAATAACATATAAGTTTAGTACTAATATGAGCATAAACGAGGAATTAGTTAAGATTGATGGCCAAGACATGCATAAAAGAGATTATTTTCGATACATTGGGTCAATAATCCATGAGAAAGGAGAAACTACAGAAGATGTTACTTATAGAATTAGAGCTAGGTGGATGAAGTGGAGATGTGCTTTTGGAGTCTTATATGATTATTGCATATCAATGAAATTGAAGCAAAAGTTTATAGAACGGCTTTAAGACTAGCGATGCCTTATGGGATGGAATGTTGAGGAGTCAAGAAACAACATATTCATAGAATGAGCATAGCTAAGAGTAGGATGTTGAGATGGATGATTGGGAAGATGAGGAAGGATAGAATTCTAAATGAATACATTTGAGGTAACTTAGGAGTAGCCCCAATAGGCGATAAAATTAGGGAAAGTAGACTTAGGTGGTCTAGTCACATGCAGCTTCAACCTAGAACAACACTAGCTCGGAGGTCTGATTTCGTTCTGGTGGACAGCTCTAAAATGACAAGGGGAAAGCGCCAAAAGACAACGATGGAAGTAATGAAAAAAAATATGATGATTTATGGTCTGACTGGGGATATGGCCCTTGATAGAGCGGAATGGCAGAACATGATTCATGTAGTGGACCCCAAATAGTTGGGATAACAGATGATGATGATGATGATGCTTTGGATGGCGCAGATGTTAGTGACACCAGATACCTCTCCTTTCAAAATACTCATCTCATGATTCTAATGTGGATCTCAAATTTCTGAACAGAGAATATTTACATAAGTAGTTATGTTGCCTGAGGGAAAGGGTCTAGGTAAGCTTCACATGATTGCTATGTACGACTATTTTGAACTCTTACACCTTGCATCTCATGCACCATAAAATCTAGGAGTTATCACTTAGGATTTCGGATAATATTGTGTCAACAGTAAAGAATGAAGAGTTTATGGTGGTGATGTTCAAGGTAGAAAAGGAGACGGCAAATGGCCTTGCTCACAAGGTATTCAATGGGTCCTGTAAAACCCAGAGGAGGGACCTAAGACAACCATTAACGTGTGATAAAGAGGATTGGATTGAAGTTAAGCACAAAAAGAGGAAGAACAACTCTAGTAGATTTCTTCATAGTTTTGGGGCCTAACTAGTCCTTCTCCATTGGCCTTGAATGAATTCTTGTACAGTCTCCATAGGTTTTGTCTGCTACTGTGATTATGCTTAGGTGTCTATCCTTAACGGCCCATTATTCAGCCAGATATTTCCCTACAACCTGGTTGTTCTCCCATTTCCGACCTGGATTCAGTTGACTCATAAACTTGCGCTGAATGTTGTTGAGTCCTTTCCAAATCCCAGACACTTGCTTTATTTTCAGGTGATATTTGATGAACCACATGTAGCATCTATATCCCCTCGACTACTTTCTTCCATTGCTTGAAATATGGATTTTGAAACCTCCACCACCACTTACCCAGAAGAGTTTCCTTGTTTTCCTTGATTTGTCTTATCCCCAGAGCATCCTTACTTTTAGGAAGGAAAACTGATACCCATCTGACCTGATGAAGCTTTTTCTTCTCTTGTACCCCATTCCATTAATCCATATAAGGGTTCATGTGATATTTTATATTGTTTATAACTGACATGAGCATCAGGATAGAAAACATCCCATATATTAGGAAATTGGCCATGCAAGATTTTATCATGGTCACTCCCCCTCCAAGTGACAGGTATCTAGTTTTCTGTGAGATCAGTTTTCTCCCCACTCTCAATATTACCCCGTCCCATGATAATTTTGGGGGTCTGGCTTTGCATGGGGGTAAGCCCAAATAGGTGTTACGCAGACTCTCAGTTCCTTCCCAATCTTCTATCTAGAGTAAATTTGGATCATCTAGATGGTGTAACGATAATTGGTATTCTCATATCTCCAGAAAAAGACAGAATTCTATGTAGCTTGATTGTGGCTTGTCATTGTTAATTGGTAATCTTAATGGAAATGGAAATACTTCTATGGCACTATTCACAGATTATAACCTTCTTCTGCAACTATACTATGAAAATACATTGAAGAATGGCTTGTTTATGATTAGTTTGTAGAGCCCTTTTCTGGACTTCAGGGATCCGGATTTCAGCAATGATTTGTGGGTTCTAACTTAACCACAAAATATATGGGTTTTAGGTTGCCAAGGAATTACGCGAACGGGGGATATTGGCTGATCATTATCATGCAGATATGGATGCTAATGAGCGTGAACGTGTCCATCTACGGTAAGGCTCTCTATGATATTATCTAATTTACCTTATGACACATGCTACTCAATAGGAAAAGGGTCTTTATGATATCTTGTCTGGCAATTCAAAAATGAAAGTCTCTGTGTGCATTTTTTATCATAATTTAGGTCACATTTTGGTGTCCTAAATCTACTGTTTTGGGCAGTCTTTAGTCTAAGAATGGTTATTTGAAGCATTTTTTGAGACAATACTGCACGAGATTTGGGTCTTATTTGATCAATGGCTTTATTATGGGGTGTGGAATATTTTTCCATGTTATAAATGATAATCTCACTGAAAGGTGACTTCCTTTGCTGGGACCATTAGGAGATGAAAGTTTCCTTTTGAGTATGTATCTCGATTGTTTATATTGCTGGTGATGCATTAGTAGTTTGGCTTTATATGAGTCCAGCCGGGGAACACATGTATGAAGTTCTCTGTGCTATGTTTACCTAGGACAAGGGCCCCAACATCAGCAGAATAATCAACTTCTAACAGGGTCCTTGCATTTATCATTCAGGATGACTATATCTAGGTCCAAACCTCGAACCCAGGAGGTTATAGCTAGGTCACAAAACAAGTTTTCTGCAATTACCCAGGAGGCTAAAGCTGAAAGAATAATTTGGTCACTACAAGATTGGAAAGAGAATCAGAAAGTAACTCTCTACGAAAGTCAAACTTGAATATTTAATAGGAAGTGGGATAGCTCAACAAAAATTTAAAGTCTAAATGACACTGATGCTTGAAATTTTGGGATGGATAGTGATGAAAAGCAAAATGTTTCATTCTATGTGATTTGTTTTAACCACACCTGATGTATTGACAAATATGCCTAGGCAGATGATGAAAACATGTAGTGTATGCCAAGGGTAATGTAGGAGTCTGCTGCCTGCTATGCACCAATTCCCAGTCTTCTAATGGTGCTGGCTTTGCAAAAAAGGAGGGGGAAAAGATTCATTTTTGCATCCATGAAGGGGATGCTTTTTCATGGGGGCTCTGCAGTTACCGATTGCCATTTCGCACATACCTTTGTTGAGAATTTTCACTGTTTTAACAAATCCATGAAAATAATAGACTTTTGGAAAAAATTTATTTCGTAGCTTTTCTTCAACTAGAACATTAAATTTTATGTATATTGCTAGTTTTGTGTTGCAATATGTCATTATTTATGTCGATGACGTTGTGAGATTGTTTGTGAGCACACAACGTAATAGTGAATAGTGACATTTCATGACCATGCAAATAACCTAATAAGAATAAACAACCATAGATAATAGCACACATCAAGGATTTAAATACCACTTTGGCAAGGCTAATGGTTGATGACGGCAAACACATTTTATCCGTTAGTAATTCACACGCAGACACTCTCGCCAAGGAAGGTGCTGACACTCAAATGACTGAGTAATTTTTTGCAGCCTCAGTCATCATTTCAAACTGATGGAGTGTCCAGCCCGACCTCCCTATTTTGTATATGGCTCTCCTAAGGGGAGCCTTATTTTTTGGATGTATATAGTCTCCATTCCTTTGGGATCAAAATCTTTTTTTTCTTGTTCAATTTTGTAACATTTTGTATGTTTTTTACCTTCAATACAATGTTAACATTCTCACAAAAAAAAGAAGGAAAAAGGTTGATGACGACTTCATGTCTGCAAACACAAGTGCTAAAGTAGAAAACTACATAAAATATTTGAAAAAAGTTTAATTCTAAGTTTATGTTCTAGAACGGGGATTTAAGAAGCCTAGGGGTTGGAATGCACCCCTGAGCCTTGTTTCCTTGAAAGGTGGACAATATGATTTAACCAAGTATATGCAGTTAAAATATTTCTCAACTTTATTTTATTCATACTGGCTAGAATACTTAAAGATGTCCAAAATACATCTTTAATTCATAGTAATTAAAACTCTAATACAATTTAGGATCTTCACTTGCATGCCATAATAAAAAAAAAAAATTGTCAACCAAAATCAGGATACAATACATAAGCATGAAATGGGAAACATGGAACCATAAAATACTAGATTATTTTGCCTAGGGTACCCTCAAAGACTTGTTACACCCCACTCCAGATTGCCACACCGATGGCACAAGATAGAGGTCTTTTCACTTTGTCTCATACAATAGGCAAACCCTAATCTAAAATATGAGAGCATGAACATTTTTAAGTGGGATTGGGCTTACTCTCTACAAGCGTAAGTCTATAGCATGGGGCATGCCACCCTTTGAGCTTAGGTTGGGGCATGACACCCCTTTCTCTTTCCTAGCCTAGAGAGAGATGAGAGAGAAAATAGAGACGAGACAGAGTGGCATGCCACTCTAGGAGAGAGAAAAGAGAGGTCTAGAGAGAGATGATGTGTAGAGGCCACCCCAAAGGGGGTATTTATAGTTGCGATCTAGGGTTTTTGAGGTCTAAGGTTTGTTATCTTATTGAGACTTAATCTTGACCGTCAATCTAAGGAGACTTGTGTTCCTTAAATCAGCCATCATGGTTAAAAGAGAAGGTTCTGCAACCATTATCCCTCAGTTTCCTTGACCCTTTCCCATTAAATATTAGATTTTAGCAGAATATGATGTAGTTTCCAAAAATCTCAGTTATGGAACAACTTACCATAAAATTACTCAATCAAATCCTTGGTTTCTCTCAATCAAATGTTTTTTAAATATTTTTCAAATCTTGGCGTTCTTCTAAAGCCCTGTGCCACAAGTTAAAGAGAGAGAGAATAAAAGAGGTGAAGCTTGGAGGTTATGTGGGTCCCCTATGGACTCCATGCCCCACCAAAGTGGGCCTCCACATGGTGGATCCTATTCCAAATAGTCCCCCACACACCCCTAATAGTTTTAAAATTAAGAAAATAATTTTTAAAAATCATTTGATATTTTTAAAATAGCTTTGTATTAGCAGAAGCCTGGAAAATCAATTTTTAGCTATATAAAAATTCTCTTTGATAAATAAAATATACAAAGCATTTTAAAAATTTATTTTAATATTCTATAATTCAAAGAAAACATATTTAAATATAATTCATTGGGAATTCGATCCATTGGGTCAAGGATCAAGCGAAGTGATCGAGGCACTCCATCTATACTTGTAACATGAACCACAATCATCTTCTCAAACTGACCCAATGGAACCCATTACTCGTAGTCCTTTATAGGGGTTCATGATCTGCCCATCAAAGTCAGCCAATAAATGAAAGGAACACGATTCTAGTCCATGGATTTCAGGTTCCCCTTGAGGACAAGTCCAAGTCCCATAGGACATTCGTGCACTATCACAATGGTGTAGGGGGTTATTTTTTCTGCATATGTACACAACATGGCCCACTAGGCTGCTTTTCGGATGACTATCTAATGTAAATACTGTGCAATAGCAATGATGAGGATTTTGGCCCATGTCCCTCCAAGCGCGTTAATCGCACACAGGGGTTACATAGTCCCTTGGCCAACTACCTTGGACATCTCTCTGACCTCATTAAGGGATGATCCTACAAACCCTCCACAGTTGTGCTATATGTCCAGGGCTAAGGGTTTTAGACGTCAACCCCGGGCTAGATCGTTGAAACATAAGTGAGTCATAGCATTAAAAATGCCTCCTTTGGTTCTTCCAGACCGTAATCTTTTGGTCTCGCTAGACCCTACTCCCACTTGAGTTATCACATCACTATAGTCATCGTTTTACATGCTCTCATAAAACCTTTAAGTGGCCACATAACCCAAACATTCCTCCCATGAACACTTACATTTTTTTATTGACAATTTCAACCTTCACCTAAGGGCATTTTCTGCCTTGAGGCGGCTGCCTCATTGTTTCAGGAGGGTTGGCTCCAGTCCCACCTTGAGGCAGCTGCCTAGGTACTGAGGCTGGCTGCTTTTTACTACATTGATGATACCTACAACAGTTTTTCTTTCGGCCTAAGAAGAGCTACAATTTTGCATGGTAAAGATATTTTGTTCTGTGTTCATGTGTCTGTTCATCAGTCTGTTTCGAAATTCAAAGTGATTGGGATTGGTAAATTTGTGACTGACTGGCCATATGGTACTGATTTATTCTTGAAAATAATCACTGATGGAAAATCTTTGAACCTTTTGGTTTTTTTGGAAATACTCTTCTGATCTTTCTGAGATTGTCACTACAGTTCTGCACTCATTTCTTTTTTGTTAGATTTTTTGGATTTCAAATGCTAAGTCTAGGTTATTGTGGATGTTCAGTTGGAGCAATAACCGTATTCAGGTCATTGTGGGCACGGTATGCTCTAATTCTTTCTCCTCATGTATAGTTTCTCATATTGGTTCTTCCTTTTAATGGCTTTACATTCTTGCAGGTGGCATTTGGTATGGGAATCAACAAACCGGATGGTGAGCATTGGCTTTTTTCTTCAAGGCTAGTATCACATCATGAACCAGTCCTCATTTTCCATCAACTTGTTTATTATCTTGCACAATCACTTGAAATGACAGAAATCATTTGATGGCCATTTTTTTCATTATCACTAATTAGTTTTTTTTTTTTGTTCTATGGGTCACACTTGAATTTGATTTGTTGAACGGTATGCCCATCGCTATAAATTGACTTATTATCAGTTTATTCAGCAATATGTTAATCTTCAGAAATATTTCTTTATTGAGTAATGGTTTGTTAATTTCTTGTTTTCTTTTCAGATATTGTAGTATATGTATTAGTAATGAAGTGTTTTAATGATGCTCAGTTAGGTTTGTCATTCATCATAGCTTAAGCAAATCTATGGAGACATATTACCAGGTAATCATTATTATCCCACTTTGTTCCATGGGCTTTCCCTTCATCTGAATTCCTTATTGTTGAATGAGTTCTAATTCCAGGAAAGTGGCCGAGCTGGACGTGATGGCCTTCCTGCAGATTGTTTATTGTTTTTCAGGCCTGGCGATGTTCCCAGGCAGGTAATATCAGGAAAATTATGTGGGCTTTTAAATATTTTAGGTACCATTCCTTTCTTGTGATTGGTTTTGAGATCCTTTCTCTTTGTTATGACTATGACCAGAGCTCAATGGTCTTTTATGAGAACTCAGGATTGCAAAATCTCTATGATATAGTCCGTTTTTGCCAGGTAAATGCAGAGTGGTCAAACATGAAAATGTTTTGTTCAAGTTGTACAATAGCATTACCTTTTTATATTTACATGCAAATATTTCTTTATTGGCCTTAGTTGAGAATGATGATCTTCTTTTCTTGTTAGTGTAAATATTCAAATGACTCATTTAAGGATGCCATGCTCAAATTTCCCTAATGAATCATGAAACTTATTTATGTACTTGTAGTAATAAACATTGTTGTCTTATTAATATTAGAATTCCTTTTGTGCTTTTTTTTGCAAATTCCAGTCTAAAAGAAGCTGCCGGCGGAATGCTTTCTTTCACCATTTTGGAGAGCCTTTACAAGATTGCAATGGTGAATCTTTTTATTAATGCTTTCATCTTTTGGATGTTTGTTTTCATTGTGTGTTTGTGCATGTATATGTGCATGCCTGAGTGCACGTGTGAAGGGATACAGGAAGTTTCTGAATTTATTGAATAATTCTCCATTGGTTATTGTATTTTCGTTTCAGGGATGTGTGACAACTGTGCTCATCCAACTGAGACTAAGGAAGTGGATGCCTCTAGTATGATCCAGATTCTTTGGCTTTGTTACATAGTTTTCTCCTTTTTTATGTTGTTGCCGATTTCTACTCCATCTTGATGTTCCAGTTAACTTTGTCTTATGTTTTATGTTTCTATTTATATGGAGTTTCTTGCAATGGTTTCATCATTTATGAACTCTCTTCTTGTTACAATGGAGCTTCACTAGCTTTTCTATATCTTCTGTGATGGCCTAAAGAATGCATAATCCTTTTGGGTCATCTATGTCCAATGAAATGTTGAATGCAAAGGTGATGAAGGGAGAGCAGGACCTGTCATTGGGGTCCTGTCCTGTTCTGGTGGGTCTCACACACCATCATCCTCTATCTTTATACTGGACATTGATGACTCACTGGGCTATATTTTTTCCATAGTCCATTGATCCATTGGATTTGAGTACACTTCTTTATTGGTTTGTTAATTTCCCTCACTCTGGAGCGTATGCTTTGGATGTGATCTTAGGTTTCTAAAGCACACATTTATTTTACTTTCCAATTCCTACATTCTTCCCTTTTTCAGACCATGCAATCTCTAGTCAATGGCCTCAGCTGTTCACTTGTACGTTCCTTAAAAGTTAATTGTTCCATATACAACAACCAGTAGTATCCTACAAAAAAGAAAAAGGAAAAATAAAGATATCGGTGGCACTCTGAATGCATGGGCACATCTCATGAGGCATGAATGTCAATGTCATGTGTAAATTTAAACATGTCTTTTATATCATTTTTTCATTTTAAGTAAAAACGTGTGGTGTTGTAGCACCATTTCACATAAATCATCTTTCTCCCCTCTTGGATCTTTCCACCATGTTGGAGTTGCCAAATTTCGGTGGAGTTCGAAAGAAGTCGTGTGTGTATTGACTTGCTAATGGGGTAGAAATGGAATCCTTGAGGTCACGTTGTGGCTCTGCTACCCTAAACACCCAGGCCAACGTTTTCATTCCAAAGTTAAATGAGAGCTTGGTTTTACATTCATTTAAAGGAACATATGATTTAAGTGCATTGCCAAAAATTTACTCCTTCCCAGGCCATGAAATCCATCTGGATAACCCATCCAAAAGGATTTCTGCGTGCAGAATCCAGAGAAATCCACGAGGAGATGTCTCACTATATGATACTCATGTAATTCTTTCTGTGCAGTCTCCAATATCATTTTCTTTCATGGTGACATGTTTTCAAGTACATAACCAGGATTGCTCCACCTCATTTCTATGAACAGATACTAGAATGAAGTGGTACCATTCCGTTGCTTCTTTAGCAAAAGCTTACCACTGCTCAAGCACTTGGACCTTTTGATTTTCATGCCAAAGGCTCCAATGAGTAGACACACCCTTTATGGTTATTCATAATTCTGTCTCGTTTTTGTTTTGCAGCTAAGCTTTCCTTCTTTTCCCTGAACTGCATCTGAAATCTCACTAAAAATAGTAAAAATTTAAAGAAGCAATGCTTTTTAGACAAATTTCCCTCGATATCTGAGAACTAGTTTACTCTTGGATGATGGTTTTGGTGACCTTTAGGCTATATTAATCAAGAAAATCTTGTTACACTAATATACAATAACTGAATAAGGAAGCAACATTCTCTGTTCGAGTCATTATGTATCTGAAGAATGGGTTATTTGAAAATGAAGATAGGATTATGAGCCACAGCTTTGTTTGAACCTGCGTTCTGATATCTGAAATCCAAGTTCTATTTATTGCAGTTTCTTTGTTTAGTAACTTTTGTTTATTTTTCAATATTAATTACCTTATGTTGGTTCAACTGGATTTATGTATTTGTGCTCCAATAATTGATCTTTACATTTTCCTTTTTTTAAAGTCTTAAATAATAGTGAAGTTTGATATGGACAATTGCTACAGCCCAAGCAAAAATCATTGTCTCATTACTGAAGGAGATGCAAGAGAATGACCAAAGGGCTACCATGTTGCAATTGGTGGATAAGTTGAAGGTCAACTCTAGGGGTTCAGGTAAATTTCTTTGGATTTGGAGGTTCTAATTACTTTTCTTCGATATTTTTTATGAATTTATTTTGGGGAAATTAGTAAACCTAACACCATAGGCTATTAAAACCATAATCAATTGAGGTCACCACCACCTGTTAAAATGATTGATGTTGGAGACAACAGTGTGGTTCTGACCAATGGGGGCATGTCTTTTATGGTAGGTCCTAGTCATTCGCAATCATCATCAGTTACTTTTCTGCCAATCATGACCCGGACGGACTGTAGTTCTCCATAATTCGTTGGATTTTTCCATTATTGTTTGTCAAAGGAAAGTACTGATTCTTTCCATTGTTTCTTAAATTGCTCAGCAAGACATCAATTTTGGAAGAATTTTAGAAAGGTCAAAAGGAAGACAAATTTTTATGTCCTCTTTTGTCGAATAGTATTCCTGTCAGAAACGGATTATGTGGTGGCATACACTACAGGGTCTTTTCCTAAATAGTTTTCTTCAAGGTTATGTTAATTTCTTCTAGGAGTAAAAACTCCTCATATGAGCTGAAACTGATGTTGATATTTTTGTTCAGTCTTGAGAGACTGTCTATTGACAACGATTTTGAGGTAGATATAAGCTTCGGTTGAACAGCTTTCATAGAAAATTGTAAAGAAATTTATTCATGCATGAGATATCCTTTGAAGCTTTTCAGTTTTTTCTTCAATATGTAAGTTTCTGAGCATGTTGTTAATTGTAGGCTTAAGATTGAGCTGGGAATTGACTTCGTATCGTATAAACTAGTAGTGGGGAAAAAAAAAAGTTTTATAGAAATTGGATTTCCAGTGGAAGATTTCAAATTTAGTTATGTAAATTATAGACTAAAGGAAAAGGTAAGTTACATGGTACTCCTCTTCAAATTAAGGTGGCAAAAAACACCTCACATCTAGAACTCGTACAGTTTGCCACAGCCCACTTAGCCTACATCCAACCCCCTCTATACATTTTCACAGTCAATTTTTTCATAATTTTTTGTCCAACCTTACAATGAAGTGCTTTCTCTAAAAAATGGAGGAGTAAACCTAAAATCCAGTCCCCTCTCTGCAACATAAGTCACATCCCATCGAATGTGTGCTGTATACACTCTTTTTGGAGATGATGATGATAGCAGTATGGAAATTAGAGTTTTTCTTCGATTTCATTGTGCTGATGGTAGTTGCAGGCCCTTTCTACTAAAATTGATTTGAGATTTTGCCATGTTTTTGAACTGTAGCAATCAGAATTAGGCAGTAAACCTATCAGGATTTTGGTCTTCTCGGGAATACCCTCTTTCAAAAGCACCAATTTTTCATTCCTTCACCTTTGTCTATTTAGAATATGTATATATTTTTTTTCTATTTTTTATGTCCTTAATCTCTAAGGGTTGTGGCTTTCCCTTTTCCTTTGTTTCTCTTTCTCACTTTTGGTTTAACATGTTCGTATGATGTTTAAATTTCTTGGCTTGTGGCTTTTATTGTGTTTCAGTCAATTGATATATATTATGATTGTTTAGTAGTTCATTTGTCAATGTCTTCGGGTATGTGGAAAAATTACTGGGCCTTTGATTGTCCATGGGCGTGACTTTCTAACACGTGCCGACAGGAGAGAGAGTATAATTGAGCCACATACACAGATTCTATTGAAACAACTTGGCCTTGTTGAGCTTTTCTGCACACTTTCTAGATCTCTTGTAACCCTTCCCTCTCTCCAAGAGGAGAGAGAAACACAGTATAATTGTGTGGTGTCTTTTGACTCCTTTTCTCGAGGGAGGGTGTGCTATGTGAATTCCTAAATCCTCGCTGCCCCCCCCACCCAAAAAGAAAAAAAGCCTGTAGGCTTAAGATTCAGCTGGGAATGGACTTTGTGTTGATAAAGAATACAAATGAAATACCTGCAATTTCTGATAGGATGATTTAAGTGACAATTTCTGGTAGGAATCAAGTGCAAGCCACCTGCTACATGTTATTAAGGCTATGCAGCCCTTTATCTTCCCTTATCCCTGCAGAAATACTTGGAAATGGTCTTTATGTATGCATGGTCATATATTTGAATTCTTTGGTTATGTCATCAAATTGCTAGTATTGAGGGATAAATCTAATCATGTATCTGAGACGTGCTTTAGCTTTATAAGGGATGAGAGTTTTCATGCTTTTCCTCCAATTTTAGGCCATATTGGGCAACAATGATCATTCTGGAGGGCGTGGAAAAACAAGAAGAAAAAGACATTTTTTATTTATACTTCTGTAAGAATAAAAGTACCATAGTTTTATATAAATAAAGCTATGTTATCTCCTATTGCTTTAGGTTGGGTTTATTCGATAGTTTTATATAAATATAGCTATGTTATCTCCTATTGCTTTAGATTGGGTTGTGGAATTATGTGACCTCCCATTGCATTGCATTTATTTTTTCATTTTACTTATAAATGTACTAGCCCTAGCCATGAAGGGAAGCTAAAGTGCTACTGGAACATTTGATCATTCAGGTGGTGCAACTCCTACAATTCCTGATCTAAAGAGAGAGGAACTGGAGCAACTGATTGTGCAGCTTGTTTTAGATCGAGTTTTGGTGAGATATTTAAATTTTCAATCAAGGCTATCTTATTATTTTAAAAACCACTTGTTGGAGCACTGGCAATAGTAGGATGAGATTAACATGTTGTTTGTTGTCATTTCACTTTGTGTGCCTTGTGAGTTTTTGTAGCAACTTATGGTTCATCTTTTTCTCACTGTGAAGGACTGCAATTCTCTTAATAAGATGCTGTACTAGCAATTACAGCTTTTGCTTGATTTATCTCACTTATTTTGGCATTGCTTTATAATTAAGTTGTGCCAAGTTTAGAGGAGGATGACCTCTCTCTCAAGTACATAAAAATTAGAGAAGTCCTCTCTCTCAAGCACATAAAAATTATCTGCTGAACCAACATTTTTGAAACACTTGCAATCTGAACTGCGAGTTCTATTGCATTCAGATAAAGCTTTTCTTGTGCCAATATCTTTTTGAGTGTATATAATTTTTCAAGTTTGCTTCTATTATCTGCAGCATTTGATCTTCATTGTTGTTATGGTTGTTTCTTTTGCTTACCTTTAAAGCTGTATCTGTTATTGCATGTTACTTAAATATTGCACAATACTTTTTGTTTTGTAGAAAGAAGAATTTCAGCATACAGCCTATTCCACAAATGCCTATGTTACTATTGGACCTCTGTGGAAGCAATTAGTACAAGGCAAGAGAATATTTCAGTGAATCATTGATACTGTCTTGATATTGATATCCCATATCTATATGAGTGGGGATCAGGGTGGATATAGAGGTGCTCCTGTTGTATGTGGGACGCAATGGAGAGAGAGAGAGAGAGAGAGATTGATTGATTGATTGTTGTTTCATTATACTTATGGACTCTTTTTTTGTTCTAGATTTTTAATGGAATTAGGACTTTCCAGGTGAAATTTGGCTGTCCCTTATTTTAATGTTATTGTGTGTGAATAAATTTATTTTACAGGGAAAAAGATGGTTAAGCTTGAAATTTCTGTCAACTCAAGAGGAAGTAGAACAAATATAAAAGCGGTGAAATGCAAACACTTGGCTGGCCTCGAATTAAAGCTTGACGATTTTCGGAAGGAGCTCTCTTCATGTCATGGAGGAATATTTCCTCATGCGGTTTTGTCCACGCAACAAATTAGCACGCTCAGCACTGAGAGGCCAGATTCCTTAGAGCAGGTAAAGTACAAATATGCATTCATGCATGTATTAAAATGGTAATTCTGATGATTCAATTTGAAGGGCTTGTAAGTTTCTCATACGAATTTAGTGATGCATGTATACTAACATGCATGCTCCCCCATGTGGATATAGGATTGAGAAAAATGATGAGAAGTGAATTGTTTACTTTACTCGTAAGATGGCCTTGCTTTTTAGTTTTTACAATATTAGCCTGTCCCAGATGATCTGACTCTCCTTATGCGCACATCGAATACTACTCCCTTCAAATATGCTGCATTATTATTGTTGTCATTTTTTTTAGTTTTTATGCAATTGCAGTAAATTTCATTCTATCAATTATTCTTTTATTTGCTTGATTGGTGGATTTCTTTGTTGTTACAATATTTTTGTGCAATACTGTGTTTGCAACTAGTTTTTCAATGTGAATAAAATGGTTTTGGAGATGAATTTTAAATTGGTTTTGAATAATGAATCATGGAAAATTTGTTTAAATCATGAACCTTATAATCATTAATTTGCAGTTGGAGAAGCTTATTGGAAAGACGAAGACAGAGAAATATGGTGAAAGGATTCTTGATTGTATCCGACAGTATGTAGAAACAGAGGTACCCAATGGCTCTGTAAAGGAAGGGGACAGTATCCAACACAGACCGACCAAGAGAGCAAAGACCAAGAAGGCTCTCATTAATATCGATACTAGCGAAGACGAACAATGTTGACTATGTTCATAAGTGCTAGTATTATCCCCTATTAAAGGAAATCTCTCTCTCTCTCTCTCTCTCTCTCTCTCTCATATCTACAAAATATTAGTAAATTGCAATTTTGTAGACACTATGCTTTATTTAATGAATTTCAGGAAGCGTGCCTGGCACGATTACAAAGACAAAAAAAAGAACACCTTAGCTCTAGCTGAAGTGACCTTTCCTGAAAAGAGAAATTGAAGAACCAATTAATGACAGAATGCATGGTGGAAAATTAAAAAATAAAATAAACTCATTTTCTTTCCTTTAATTGGTACATTCGAAGTGCTTGCATGCCTGATTGAAAACAAGTTTGCTAGATGTTATAGCAGAAGTTATATCACTTCTTTCTGTGAAGCTTTTGTCGAGGAACATGTCGAGCTATATGTACGGACTAGAGTATGGCTTCAAACCATTGAAGCAATTCACAATGGGTTTGGGTTGAGGTGGGTTTGGGTTTTTTGGGTCAAAAATCAGCAGTTAAAACCCTTGATCTCCCTCACAAATACTAGTATGTCAAGTACAATGCCGAAACCTATGAGATCTTAAGATATTTGTCCCTCAATTAAACCATATTTTATAAAGATTTGACTTGGATCTAGGCTTGTCATACTCTCGATCCAAGTCAACTCAATCTAGTCTTAATATTTTAGCCTTTAGTCTCACAGATATATTTGACTTTACTTTGTAGGGTTCCAAGTCAAAGTAGTTGCAGGGGAGATTCGAGTTGACTCACTAAACTGCATGGAAGATATAAGTGACAACAGAGAATAAGAAACTCACCTCTCGGACTTGAGAGTAGCGAGTCATGACCCTGATGATTTTAACGACTAAATTTAGAAATGAGTCGCCTCTTGGAAATCATTTTTAAGAGAACTTCTTTCTCTATATAGGAGTCAAGAGAGAAAATAGGAGTCCTACAACTCAGATGTAGAAATGGGTCCCCTCTTAAAAATCATTTTTGAGATAGATTTAGGAAGTAAATTTATGGAATATATAATCTCTATATGGAGATCATGAATATGTAAAGATAAATAAATTTTAAAAATAAAAAAAGAAACAAAACATGTAGACTATTGGTTTTAATGCCTTGGGAGAAGCATATGTAGAAATGCGCCCCCCAACACATACAACAATTTTCCTATGAAGAAATAGTGTGCGTGATGTGTGTGGTCACTAGAAATTTGGACATCATACCTAGTTTCGATCACTGAAAATACAGAAAAGGTTTTTATGTTGGGCATACAAGTAATCATATATGAATCTGTGATTCAATTGAGTTATGGTCTCATACAAGCATATCACTATCTAAAAAGCATTCTCCTATTTTAGTTTTTTTTTTCTTTAAATTACAAGTTCCTTTCTTGACTCATTTAAAAAAAGAAGTTTCTCTCTTGACTTCTATAAATAAATAAATAAATAAATATTCCTATGCATAAATAAATAAATAAATCTCTGTAAGCCACTAGGGTCCAATGGATCCTCCCACAAGATGAAAACTAAAACATGCATTTCAATGTGATGAAAAGCTAAGGATGAAGAAAACATATAAACAAAAAGTTGTTCCTATAATGTTGAGCCGTTTTAGATGGTGGGTGCATAAAAGGAAAGTTGACACTTTAAAATGTAAAAAGAATCTAATTGATCATCTCAACGTCGAGATGTATAAATATGGAGAAAAGAAGAGATTCAGGTTTTAAAAATAGTATATCTTACAACGTATTATCTAGACGATTTATTTTCAAGATTTTCATGCTTTTATAGGTCTACTCGATTTGAACCATTTTGGAAAATTAAAAGTAAAAGATTAAAATAGATTATCGCACCATCCTAAGAATTTTCGATACGAAAATTACATTTCATGATGAAATTTGAAGTGCACCTTAGTTTGATTGTTTAAGGTTGCAACCTTATATAAAGCACACCCATTCTACAATCATGTATCTAACATGTAAAAATGTTGCATCTCAACCCTGTCGCAAACAATGGCATAAATGTAACTCAAGATTCTCAACGCTATATCACCAAATGCCAACAATGGATCGCCATGGTAAGTGAATAATAGGATTCATCTTATGCCCTTATTTTAACTATCCCAAAAATTGTTTGTGTGTTTTGTGACGGACCAAAGTGGGTTCCTCTAATACGGACATGAATTCAGGACCTTCATCACCGTCCAATCAATAGATTGAGTGATGATCGTATTACTAAAAATGTCACAGGTATACGTATACTTCTTTGGGGTTTAATCAGTGTTTGAAAAGTCGGTAATTTGAGTTGGAACCACAAAAAATGAATTAGGACCGGCATGCGGCTAATATGATCTTATCCCTAACTCGGGAATGGGATTTAAAATTGTATTAAAAAATAGTTTCCATTATTATGGTTCTACCGAATAGTCTTAGTTATTATCATCGAGTCCATGTCAAAAGGGAAATTTAAAAAAAAACGACTTTACCCAACAACCGAATTCAAAGTATTTTAATTTTTGGTTCTTGAGTTATCTGATAAAATCAAAGGGAAACAACTCGTTTGAGGCCCTACATTTAGGAGAAATCTTAGAGATTATGAGATTTGGAGAAATCTTATGATGTATTCTCTCTCTACTTCTTAAATTTAGAAAAATTCTTAGAGATTATGAGATTAGAAGAAATTTTGTAGTGTATTCTCTCTTTACCTCTTTGAAGTCATGGTTATCAAGGATTATAAACGAAGTCATGGTTATCCGATAAAATAAAGGAGAACAGTTAGCTTGAGCCTCTAAATTTAGGAGAAATCTGAACGATTATAAACTTATAAAAAAAAAAGACGCTCGGTGAAAGGGAGAGATAGAGTTTAAAAAAAAAACCATTTTTATCCATGTAATGTAGAGAGTGGATATGCAAACCCACAAGAGAGAAAAAAATTTATCGTTTTTGAAGAAAATTTTAAATTTTTGATTATTCAAAAACCAAAATTGGCCCCGAATCTAGTTTGAATTCGGTTGTTCAACACAAAAAAAAAAAAAAGGCAAAACTATATTTTTTTTAAAATTTCCGTATTAACATGAAAAAAATGGATACAGTGGTAATAACGGAAACTATTTGGTAGAGCCGTATTAATAGAAACTATAACGGATATGTATATAATTTTTCTAAAATATTTTATCATATAAACATTCTTTTGAAATGATTTAAAGTTCCAAAACTTTGAACGTTTTATATATTGTTTACATACTTTTTTTTTTTTGTTAAATTGGCCGAATTAGCCAACCCAGGTCGCCGACTCAACTAGCCAACTCGAACCGTAGGGTATAGGTTTGAGAAGTATTTTAAAACTTGATGATTTTTTTATCTGGATTGTCGATCCACAAATTGCCTAACTCAGCTCCCCACTTGAAACCCCCATTTTATATTATTTTTACAGGCCCATCTAATATTTGCTTAGATTATGCTTAAGTCTTCACGCCAAAAGTCCCAATTTAATATTTGTTTGTTTTTTTCTTT